CCTTCGTGAAGCATCAGAGTTAAACAGAAAACTGTTGACAAAAGTCTTAAAATGGCCATGGTTAATATATTTTTGATAATTTTCAAAAGTGAAAATTTTGATGACAGCAGTTTACTATAAAATAACACAATTGATAAGGGAATTTGATTATTTATGTGACACTTAAAGTCAGTTCAAAAAATTTTAAACAATATGCATAAACATAATGATTAATCCTATTTTCAAAGAACAGTGGATATTACATCCAACTTATGAAAATGGTGGTGCATATTTTTACAGGGAAAAAATGTCAGATGTAATAATCCTGAAACATAATGTGATAAATATATCAAGCATGTAGTTAGATTTAAGCGATATACCTAGATTATAAAGCTGAGAGGTTAAGTAAACCTGTTTTTTAAGTTTAAGAATAACATATCCAATTAGAATAAAATGTATTTTTGCAAGGTTGATAACTCAGAAGAAAAAGATATATTTATTAAACCAATGACATCAAAATAGTCTCATTTGCCAAAGATTTACCTGAATCATGTGAGCCTGAATTTTAAAACATTTTGGTAAGTTTACGTAAGAATACTTCCTCCTCCCGCCAAAATTGAGTATATTAGAAATTTAATTTCCTTAATGTCTGGGAATTTCAGGAATATTTAAAATTATATTGGCTCTTATTTATCTCTTAGCCAATATAAAAGGAGATTTTTAAAGGAATTTTATAGTTTAATGTGGTAATACAATTTGTAAGTAGGAAAATATTGCACATGCATTATATACATATATACACACTTCCATACATACACATACACAAAGATAGAAATAGAGAGTTTATAGCTTTAATTTTTAATTTTAAAATTTTAGCCATGGTTCCGGCATAAACACAAAAATACAAAACTCACTGGTTCATATAAAGGAGATGACTCTAATCTTTGCCTCATTTTGACATTTTATAAAGATCGTATTTCTGGCGGATGGGGCAAATTGAAGTAACTTGCTCAATAAGAGGGCTGAAGCATCTTTACCGGTATCTGTGGAAGGGATCTTAAAGATGTCATTCCCCCCGAAGTATAATACTGTGGAGACTGTGGACTAAATTTAGGGAGAGGGATGAAGGAGACCGAGCAGCCATTTGGGGTCTCCAAAGTCTGTCTGAGTGGAGAAAACATCCAGCTTGTTTCCCATTAGCTTTTTTGACCTCACGCTGTGTCTCTTTTGTGTCTGCGAGCCCCAAGAGAGGTAGAGGGACTTAAATCTCAAGCAATTACAGGGAATCAAGGGGCTAGAGAGAGAAAGGAAAGGTCTGGCAGGGGTGGACAGAAGAGGGGGTGATGCAGAGGGGTTGAAAGGGGAGACCGAAGGATTTGAGGGCACTGAGGGGAAAGTCAAAGGTGGAAAAAAGGAGGAGGGAGAAGTTGGTAACAGGGTGAGACGGGTCTTAGAAGGTATCAAGGAAGAAAGATGGTCCTTGAGGGAAGAAACAGCCTCTGAACCATTTTATGGGATAGACATTTTTCTGTTTCTTTCTACCAAACAGTGAAAGCAGTTCTATTTTTCGGATAAAATCTAGGAATCAGGAGATTCGAGAGTCCTGCTCAGAATGAGCTGATATGGGAAAGTCTTAAGTTTTCCAGAATGACCATTGAAATTCTAAGTGGTCCTCAGCAAAATTCTGCCATTTCTGAAGAAATTGGGTGGAATTAATACCAGAATGATGGAGCACAAGTCCCACAATGAAGACATATGAGGGACAAGAGTTAGATTGACAATCTCCCATGTTAATAGAAGGAGCAGCTTGTTGGTGCTAAGACCTTCAGACTTTAACACGGGTATAATTTTCAGTGAGAGAGTCAGGGGCTATAACCACACACAAAAAATGACAGAAGGAGAAGACAGAGAAGTGGAAGAAAAAAGACAAAAATAAGTGAAAAAATAAAGCCAAGACTTTACCATGCTACAACAGACAAAATTCGGAACATTGGGTTAGGAGTTATCACTTACCACTGTGGATCCTGAGTTCCCCAGCCAGGAAAGGACACGAGTGTAATAAAACGACCTTAATACTTGGGTGAAAAATGCTGGATCCGAGGGGTCGTCAACATTCCATCGGAGTCACGGCATTATTACTGTCAAAGAAAAAAAAGAGGCAACCCGAACGTTAGTATGAAAGACTTCATTAAGAGGATGTTGGGGTAGGAGGAGAGGGATGTTATCATAGGAAGATGTTCGAAGTCTACTTCAGAAGTGTGTCAGGGAAGGGACGAGCGGGCACAGCTTTTAAATGCAGAGACCCTTGGAACAGATGACTGTAGAAAGAAGGCGGGAAGATGGTGAAGCTGGTGGGCGGAGGGAACTTTTTGAAACTTAACAAGCTTCGTCAAACACTGACTAACAAGAAAGTCAAGACAGGATATGTTGGTTTGTGGTTAAGCATATGGGCTGGGTCTGCACCCAAGGTGAAGTGAACAAGTTAAAATGCAGGAAGTTCATACAGAATTGAGGGTCTTGTGGTCTTAAAGTTGTGTCAAGTTCGAGTTTGATTAGCCTTGTCACACCTAAAATTATCTTTGAAGTTTCCCAGAGGGTTTGTGGAAAATTACAAAGATTTGTTCTTTCGCCTTGTAAAAGCAGAAATGTTAGAAATAATTAAAGTTATTTGATATGTTACTAATGATGAGTTGCATGGAAAATATTGTCAAAGCAGAAGAAATGCATAGACTTCTCTAGGTTAAATTTGTATGGGTAAAATGTTATTAACATAAATATTGAAACACTTGTATTCTGTACGGGAAAGTTCTAGAGAATTTTTAATGTTTTTGCTGTCCACAATTTGTTTCAATTTATTTAAATTCTAGTGTTGCTTTGTCTATAAGACAAGAGCAGATAAGTGTTAGTCATAATTTCAGTTATTTTTTAAAACATTAACTTGGTTGTAACTTTATTTCAATTTGAATCTAGTATATTCCTGGCCAGTAGTTTTCTATTGGGAATTCACAACTCTGATCTATTGAATTTTATTAATCTACTGATGTGTAAAACCTACTCCAGACTTACTGAATCTATTTACTTGATAATATTGATATATTGTTGGTATATTCTAACTCTGTGTTAGGTATACGAGGTATCTAATGTCTCAGGGTTTTTATATATTATATCTGAAAATGCTTTCTCTGTGAAGATTATGCTCATACATTTTCATAAATTAGGTGTAATATCAACCTTTTTTTGAAAATAGACAAATCTTTGTGTTTTTAGATATTTTGTTTAAAATTATTTTGGATCGACTTTATTTTGCTTTGCATGCCATGGAAATAACCAGATATGCTCATCAATTGCATTATTCTTATAATAAATTCTCTATAGATCATTCTTTTTTGAAAAATGTTGATAATAAGTAAACAATAGCCATTTTTAGTCTTTTCTCATCTACAGATAGTTTTGTTTGTGTATTTTGTTTTACCCCTGATGCTTCCATAAAATCACTTGCAATCAGCTACAGGGAAGAGGGTTCCATCTTCAACAAAGAAAGACTGTCTTAGAGCCTGGTGCAGGACTATGCTAGGTAGGTACTCTTGTGTATAGGCTTCTTATGGCATGGCTTACACATCTATAAATCATACCAGTGGACTTTGTAAAGGAGCCAAGAGTTCCAGACTTCTAGTGGAAAAGCAGAGGTGTTCATGAGACGACTGACCCACGATCAAGTGCAAGAATGATTAGTTACATAGGACTGAATGAACTAAATCAACTGGATGAATACGGACTCTGTTTGGAATCGTGCTGATGCATTAATTTCTATGTTCTGGACACAAGGAACTACTTTCTATTAAGCTATCTATCACTCATAGCAATTTAGTAGACTGTGCTCTTGTAAACAGAAGGGAAATATGTATCTTTTCCACCCTGACTCGCCTTGCAAAATTTAGAAACTCTCACTGAGTATTCTTAGTTTCATGGCAATCTAGTTATTTGCATAGATTCAAGAAGAGTCTGTCCACCTTGCTAATAGGACATAATTGGAGTCATTGGTCATGCATCTAAGGCTTTGCCTATAATGTCATATTTGGGAATGACGCTCATTTAATCAGATAAGACCAGACACTTTTAAGGACTAGGGTTGACTTTCTGGGGCTGATGCTTACAGATTCCCTCTTGGGAAGACTGGCCTGGTCACAAATGGGCTTCATAGGGTTCCCAGCCTTAGAGTGAGAGAGGAAGGTCACTTGCTGGCAGGTTCGGGAAGCTTAGGCTATTTGGGGACCTCAGAAAGAGAGGAATTCCCACCAACTCACTGAGTACTGCAAGTGAAAAATGATGGTGAATTCTTGGCTTGGCTGCCTGTCCTCAAGAGGCTTTGAAAAAGTCCCATCTGGGATTCTTTATGAAAACTACCAGCAGAGCAAATCTGCATGGTAAATTGTCATTCTTGCTGCATCTATGTAAATGACCAGGCCACACTTAATGAGACCAGCCTTATTTTGTGATCAAGAATAACCTTGCTTTGAGATTGTCTTTGATCCCAAGGGAAAGACAGACTGTGGGGAGAAATTTTGTGTTTCAGTGGGAAACTATAGCACACTCTTCTGAATGATCAGATTCTGATGTATTCATTGTCTTTGAGCTATTTTGCACCTCTCTGTAAATTGCAGATAATCGATTGACATGCAAACCTTATCTTGTCTGGTAACCAAGTTTTTTCTTTCACTATGGAAAAATCAGTTTGATCCAGTCTGGACTGGATCAGCTCACCTTGTGTAGATTGCCAACCTTTATTCGATTTTCAGCTATTTGAGTTTCCTTCAATATCTGGCTATAAACTAACAGCTTCCAAAGTAAGCTTTTCGATTTTTCTGACTTGGAGTCACTGAGAACTAAAAACTGATCTTTACTGGGACCTGGAGTCACTGAGAACTTGGAGTCACTGAGAACTAAAAACTGATCTTTATTGGGACTCTAAGGTTGCTCTATAGCTTGTACCTGCCTTCAGGATCTGAAGAGTCAAATATCTGGCTATAAACTAACAGCTTCCAAAGTAAGCTTTTCGATTTTTCTGACTTGGAGTCACTGAGAACTAAAAACTGATCTTTACTGGGACCTGGAGTCACTGAGAACTTGGAGTCACTGAGAACTAAAAACTGATCTTTATTGGGACTCTAAGGTTGCTCTATAGCTTGTACCTGCCTTCAGGATCTGAAGCTCTATAGCTTGTACCTGCCTTCAGGATCCACAAGCTCAAGCCTGAAGACTTGTTATAAGCCTAGAACGAGGACTCATCATTCCAGCTGACCATTTATGGTATAGCTCTTTTCATGGATAAACCTCTGTTTGGACTACTAAACACGTCTGATGAAATTCTGAGATCATCCATGCCCTTATTGGAGAAGCAACCATTGCCGTGGATATCACAAATGAAGTCAACATCTTAGCATCAAAAACTTGGTGAGTGGTAAAAGACTGAATATACAAACAGGCAATGGCAAGATAATATAAATAAAATAAAACTCTGACACAAAACCTTTCTTGCAATCAGTCTGAGTCCAATTACAACCTCTTCTGTGTCAGCCCCAAATCTGAATCTGGTTGAAAATTTCCAGCTTCTCTAATTTTTGCCCCCATTTCTGACTCAGGACTGACCATAGAAAGCCAAGTGTGCATTCCTTACGAATCTTAGAGGATGGCTCACTTCTAATTGCCTGCCTCCAGCTTCTGTACGCCATAGCTTCCAATCAGGGCACACCTGAATCCTTCCCATCTTTCCACCCTAGAGCTTTCTCATTACTCTGCATGCATTTGAGCTTCTGCCAAACTCAAGTGATGGTGGTGACTCTCCATCCAAGTTTTGAATAAATAGCATTTGCTTGTTTTCATTTGAGTGATCTTCATTTATTTCCACAGTTTTCTTGGAGGTTCCACCGAGATACAGTTTGCACTGACCATCCCCATGGATTTCCGTCTTCAGCCAAGGGCGGAACCCCTTGTGCCTTGCTGCTCACCTCCTGTCGAGTCCACAACGATGTGGTGAGTCAGCACAGGGTCTGCCCTCCACCCTCTTTGTGTTGAGTTACTGGTTATTTATTCTCAGCCTGGCAACCAGGTTTTGTTATCGATTCCCATTGCTCTGACATCCTTGGTGGGATCAAGCAATCTTTTCCATCCCTTTTTGCTGCATTTGTGTTACCTTTTTATGGTGTGCTGTCTCAAAGCGTTATTTGCCACAAGAAGGAGAATCACACGGTAGAACATAAGACTATTACTTATAAGCCTGTTGTTCGTGGTGGCCTACAAATCAGTGACTTTGCAGTTATTACAAGAACTGCCCTTTTGGACAAATTTTGATTTTAGTCACCGATAAAAGTGGATGAGGTTCTCCTTCCGTCTCTAGTTTTTGTCCTCAGAGCTGTTTTATTCTCTTCTCTCCTTGTTTGATTTGGAGGAAACATTCTCCTTGGTATTTCACCTGCTGGGGGTGCAGGTCGTTGGGTCTGTGCTTGGAAGCAGCCAGCCATCAGTCTGGGGACTTGACATATGAGAGGCATGAACATTATATTTCTACCAACCATTGCCAGCACTCATAGGTTCATCTAAATCTAAATCTTCTCCTCTTCCAAGGAAATTCTTGCTTCTTATATTTATTCTCATTACAGTCCTAATTCTTGCATCTTTCTTTCCAAATGAGATCATTTTCCCAAGTATGAGTTAGGCCTTCAATGGAAGCTCTGGGGAACACTTGACTTTAACAAAATTGTTCCTCTGAAAGGTTCCTTAGACATGAAAGGGACTAAGAGTTCTCAGTCCAGATAGGTGGCATTTTTTAAAATTGCTTTTGCAAAGGCCTCCAAACAAAATTCTGAACAAAAAAATTGCTCCACTAAAAGAATCTTTGTCAAAAGCCATGATCAATTTGACAAATTTCAGTAACAAACTAATTTACTTAGTAAATCTTCTTTGTCCTCCAGTTACTTCCCTGTATTCTGTTCACCTTCTTCCCTCTTATCTTTCAGATCTGATCTCTTTCCTTCCACATGTCTATCAACCCCTCCTTCCTCCTCTCCTTGTTCAGACCTTTTACCTTTTCCCAACTTTCCTCAAACCCCTGAGTGCCAGTTGCCTCTAAAAATTCCTCCTTTCCATGTGCTAGGAATACAGAGAACTATAGAATTTAAACCTTGGACTTGAGCTGAATTAAGAATTGTAAAGATTTCTCTAAACCTAGAGAAGACCAATAAATATTCATAAAACAATTTAGAATTCTTTTGGGTGCATACGACCCAGAGTTACTTGATCTATATAAACTTGTATACATATTGGCTGGAATGTCAGATGCTAAATTCTGATGGCAAAAGCTGATTGGACTTACTCAGAAGGGGGTCTATGGGATCTTTCTTTACACAATCAGCTTGAGAGTCAAAAAGTGGTTTGAAAAATAGGGCAAAATCTCCTAAACACCACACCTGAAACATTTTTAATAAAACTCAATTGGACCAGAGAGTAAACAAACATGTATACAGACAGCAGGCACGCTTTTGGAATATGACATGACTTTGGGATGCTTTCATAACAAAGTGGGTTTTCGTTTCTGAGGGGATCCTTCTAGAAATGGACAAAAGTTAAGAAAGTTTTAGATGTATTTCTCCTTCCTAGAGAGATGGGTATTATAAAGATTGCGGTCCATGTAAAGAGAGAATATAAACACCACAGGAAATGCTCTAGCAGATCGCTATGCTAAATCAGCTGCCTTAACCAAGTTGATGATCCTATCTCAATCTTCAAAGGATGAATATTTAGAGGGATTCAAAGAGATCATTTGAAAATTAGAGTTTAGCCCCCAATTTTGAGAAAAAAAGAATGGGAAAAATCTGGTGTATCCTTCACTCAGATATTCTCTGTCCCTCTCTAGATGGCTGTTCAGTGACACCAGATCATTTCAAATGAATATTAACTAAATTTCTCCATGAAAACTGCTCACCATGGAACAGGTAAGTTGATTGTTGTTTTAAGTCAACACTGGTGAGGAAACTTTAAAAAGATAGTTGAGGCTATTTTCAGGTCAGTGTATCACCCATCAACAGTTTAATCCTGGAAAACCTTTAAAGGTGGGACACGGCTAGGACTCAAAGCCTCAGGGACACTTTGAACAGGTTCAGATGGATTTTACCCAGCCTCCAACCTTTATGGGATTTGAATACATTTTAATTATTGTATATCTATTTTCAGGGTAGGCTGAAGCATTTCCTTGCTAAAAAGCTACTGCCCTTATGACCACTAAAAAGCTGCTTGATTTTGTGTTTTCAACTTGGGGCATCCCAACTTTTATAGCAAGTGATTGTGGGGTACACAAACCATCGCAACAGCAGTCTGTAAGACATTGGTCCTTACTGAAAAAGCGTATTGTCCTTATTACTTACAATCTTCTGAAAAGGTTGAAAAGACCAGTGGTAATCCTTAAATTAAAATTAGCAAAACTTCCAGAAACCTTGGCCAGAGGTACTCTGTCTAGCTCTGATGGCCTCTAAGGCTACTCCCTCAGGAAAACACTGTTTATCCCTTTATGAATTGGTACTAGAAGGTCTGTCCATATATTTGGAGATTTTACTCCAATATTAGAGTCTGACCTACTGCATGGTGACATGGCAAAATATTGCAACGGACTCTTGTACTACAGCCAGTTCTTTCACCAACGGGTTTAGGGCTCCTTTCCAAAACATTTCCTTAAGTCATCTCTTTATGATCATCAACCAGGATATTTCATCCACTGGAAGAGACATCAGAGGAAAACTGCTGCTCTTGACCTCACTGGAAGGCACCTTATCAGGTACTGTCAACAACACATACAGCTGTGAGATGCCAGAGTCAACACTTGAGTTCATGTTTAACAACTGAAAGAGTAGTTCAGAATTCCACACAGTTGGAAGGCTACTCAAATAGGGACTTCAAACTGAGAATACTCAGAGATCTCATAGACAAGGCTGATCTTTGCAAGGAGACAGTAGCCCTAATATCTTTGGAATAAGCAGATGACTTTAGACAGTGGGTAACTCCTGCCTAAGATGTTGGAGCAGGATCTCTGTCTGATTTCCATTTTTTTTTTTTATACATCTGCTAATAATAATTCTTCTTATTTTCTACAGACCTTTGGTTGTCATACATGCATAATAGCCTTTTCTCTCTTTTTTCCTCCTCCTTATACAATTGCGAAGTCAGAACATACTTACTCCAATGCTATTCTTGGGTTATCGCAAATGTACCTAATGCCCTCAGTCTTATCGACTGCTGGATATGTCCTCCATCACTGGGTCCCATTATAAAACCTCTGGACAATTCTAGTCTCATCAAATAAGACCAGAAAGATATATAGCTGATGGCATTTCTACTTGTACCTATACGGAAAAATGATCTTTGAAATTTCAACTGGTAAATTATTTTACCAGTGTCCATCTCTCCAAGGGGGGAAAAATTTTTATAATCTATTGCTCATACCCTATCTAAATCTAAATTTTATTTCCACAACCTTATTAGGAAAATGGGCCAAATACCTGCCATCTAGAAGAAACTAATAGAGGGACAAATATGTAAGCCAGCTGACGTAAGGCCTTGGTTCTCCATGTGTCCCTCCTGAGTACTACTTCCTCTGCGACCAAAATGCCTGGTTCTGTTTGCTTCAAACTCTGCCAGATGTAAGCAATGGTGCCTATAGCAAGCTATGAATAAATAGTCTTAGCTCATTCTTATTTGGGTTCTCTTCATTTCTTTTGACAGCAGTGATGCATAATCAAAAGATTTCATCCACTAACCACTTGAAATCTAATAGACTTGTGACTCACAGGATATGACTCCTGGTTATTTGCTTTAATTCAAACTTTTATATTAATATTTCTCTTTTTCATTTCAGGCATCCCTATTTAAGATGCATGGACTCCAAGATTCTAAAACAACTTACTTGGGCTATAACTTTTCAACAGATACTGGAACAACACCAACAAGAGTGCTAGAATGATTATTTGTTAGATCCTGTTTCATCTCACAGAGGAGTTTTATACTTGTCTCTTAATTGTTTAGGAACCTATTATATTCATTTATATTGAACAAAAGGAGGGACTGACAATGTTGAACTTTACCTAAGCTCTGTGTTCTTTCCTGGAAAACAGTGATGCTTAAGAAATCTCCTGTGCTTAGGGCTGGGAAGGATGGGGGTGGGTAGGGGATAGGAGGTGATAGCATTCATATTTTTTTTCTTGAAGTGATAAAAATGTTATAAAATTGACTGTGTGATGGTTTCAAATTTGTGACTGTATTAAAAATCATTGTGTCATACATTTAAATGAGTGACTTGTATGGTATGTTTGAATTTGATTTCAATAAAGCTGTTAAAAAGAAAATAAAGCAAATAACCATTTTTGCAGATGTTTAGCTCTTTGGAAGCCTGTTTTTTGAATAAGAAGTTAAGAGCCCATTTTAAACTATCTTTGTCCCTTTTCATTCAATTTGCCAGCACTTTCACCAACATGATTCTCTTAATAATTTTGTGAATTTTCTACAAATCTGATAAGAGGGTCACACTATGCCTCAAAGCCACATTCAGAATTTTCAGTCAGATTTTCATCTAATTCTGGCTGCCTGTGAGAATTCAGAGGATCAATACAAGCCCCTTTGTCTACCTGAGTGAGTCTACTAGGCACTGCCTTCAATATTTCCGAGGTCTTAGTAAAGGTCTTATAGCTATCTACTATCTAACAATTTATTTCAAAACTTACTGAATTAAAACCATCAGGATTTTTAACATTTCTGATCATTTTATGGGGCAGCTGGGAGATTTCCATACTGATTTTGCCTGGATTCACTCATGTGTTGTTTTAACTAGAAATTTGGCTGGACTGGAGGGTGCAAATGTGACCTCACTCTCATGTCTGGCTGCCGGCTTTTGGCTGAGATTCCTGAATTTCTCTACATGACTTCTCGTCTTCCAGGAAGCTAATTAAGCTTTCTTTCATGGTTGTTTCAGGAAAGTTTTCTAGGAGAACAAAAGCAGAAGATGCGGGGTCTCTTAAACCCTGACTCCAGAAGTTGCATTGTGTCATTTCTGCCATATTCCATGGGTCAAAGCAGGTTATAATAGGCTACACTATGTTCAAGAGAGTGAGGAAAGACTCTGCAATGGGATGGGGTTGGGGGCGGGAGATGTCAAAGACACATTGTGATGTAGCCACGTCTTCCTGAGATAGGAGAAGTTCTGGATATTAAACAGTCTATTACTGCCCTTATATATAAGGATTTTGGACTTCATCCTTTAGTCTTGGGGTGTCTCTGAAAGGTGTTAATAGCAGGGAAATTATATGGCCGGTTTGCATTATAGAAGGATGAGGCCGAGGGCAGTGTGTTAGAAGAACTCAAGAAAAGAAAGATTAAAGTTTGGCAAAGTGTATTTAGAGAAATAATAAAATAGTCTATTTGAAGATGATAAAGGCTTGAACAGGAATTGAACGAGGAGATATCTAATGGATTTTTGAATCTGACTCAGTGTCTAGAAAGTTTCAAGATTGTCTATACCATGATAACTCATACTACCATGACTATATGTGTACGTAATAGATTATACATCACATTTTTAATAATACATAAATGTGATACACAACTATATCAAGTGAAAGCAAGGGGATAATGAGCATAGAATTTGGGATGTTGACTATTGTAGTTGAGGGATTTGAGCTACCATAGAAGTTCTGGGTTTTTGATGGGGCGGTACATTCCTACTTGCTTATTATATTGTTCAAAAAGAAGAGGAAGAGAGACAGTTATGGACCAAAGATGAAAGCATAGTATGAAACGAGGATTGTTCCGTATGTCTGAAACATGATACGCGAATCTGCAGTGAGGTGAATAAGTGAGCGGTGGTTCCCACACTGGCTTGATGGGAATCATTGATTCACACGCAGTGGGAGGAGCCATGGCACATCATTTCTGTTCGCAGATGAGAAAATGGAGTTTATGAGATGTCAAACAAATCTGCTCTTCTTTCTTACTATGAATTTCATATCTTCCTTTTGCTTCTTTGTGATTTGCTATAATTTTGTTAGGTAATAACCTGTCAACATTTAATGAGAACTGGATACTTTACAAGGTCTTGTGAATACTATAAAATGAGTCAAATCCATATTCTAGTCTCTAGAAATGTACTGTCTAATAGGATGGCGAAAAGCCACCTGTGGCTTTAAGCACTTGAAATATGGACAGTGTAGATAAGGAACTAGATTTCTAATTTTATTTAATTTTAATTGATTTTAGTTAAAATTTAAAATATTTTTCATTAAATATAACTATTGTTTTGGTAGAACTACATTTCACTCAAACCTGCTGAAAATGATAGCATCCAAATCGAGAACATAAAGCACGCACTGGGTTTTGAAGGCTTAGTATGAAGAAAGAATGTAAAATATTGCATTAATAATCTTTTATACTTATTATATTTGGAAATGTTAGTTTTTGATGTATTAGGACAAATAAAATATATTATTAAAACTAAGCTCACACGTTCTTACTATTTTTAATGTGGCTGCAAGAAAACTTAAAATTCCACATGTTGCTCACAGTCACTGCTATTTGACAGCGCTGCTCTAGAATCTTTTTATTTCTCGAAAATACAAAGCCCAAACTTTGAAACACCTGTACCTGCCATGTGACCTCATGATCATGAGAAAGAAAAAAAAATCTCCGTTTCTGGATTTCTGACTTTTAAACTGTTAGCTATCATGGACACTTCCTCACGTAGGTGGTCACAGCCACCACTGTAAGCGAGGTTGTGGGGTGGGAAGCAGAGAAGTGTCTTCTCTTTGTGGCAGCATCATCCAGACACAGCAGTCATGACCAGTTAGAGGCCTCTGCTTGACTTGTCTGTTTAACCAAACTTGGCAGTCATTTATTGCTTGTCTGGCTAAAAAGTGGTGGAGATTACTGCTTTCAAGAACTTTTCTCCATCAGCTCTTTCCAGAGCAGAGCATTCTCAGGCCCATGCAAATTACCTGTGTTTATGCCGATGACGAAAAAGGCAGGAGAGATGGGTGGGAAGAATAAAGCTGAAAAACGTGAGCTCTCAAAAGCAGCCCACGCCTTTTCATAATGGTGTCAGGGTGTCACTCAGAGCATCGGGCCTCTCTTTAGGGAGCCTGGAGTTCAGTCCTTTGAGAGAGGAGCTCTGTGCCTCAGAGACATGTAGGAATGGCGGAAGAAGCAGTCCAGAAAGGGCGTGCGCGAACACACACACACACACACACACACACACACACACGCACGCACGCACACAATATGTAGATAATTAAAATTTTTTACCCTTCTAAAAGCAGACCCACAGTAAATGTCTGCATTTCCTCATTAATCAAACATTCACCCATCGCCTGACCCGAGCTGATGGGCTAGAGGTAGACGGAAGGGAGAGAATTGGAGGGTGAATGCTAGGTTCCTGGCCTGAGCTCCCTCCAGTGGTGCCATTTACCGAGATGCAAAAGATTCAGCTCCAAGGTGGAGGAGACAGACACGAAGAGAGCTGTGGCACACCTGTACATTTCGAGAAACTTATAGGACATTCAGATGGAGTCAGGGTCAAGGCCTGGTTCCACTCCGGAACAAAACGTATAAAAACCTCTTGAGCGATGCTCTCGTTTCGGTACTTCGAAAAAAATCTTCCCCAGATGTCTCTACAGTGTAGCCAGTGCTGAGAATGACGGCACAGGTTGCGGTGTTGCTCACATGATCTGGAATATGGTTGGACAAAGAGGTTTTAGAAGCAAAGAAGAGCCATTCCATTTTAGACGTGTGAGAAAGATGAGAGACACGGTGCTGTCCCGAACAAAGACTCAGGAATCCTGAATTCTGGCCTCGGCTCTGCAACCTCGCATCAGCACCTCCCCTGCGTCAGCCTCGGTTTCCTCGCCTGCGAAAGGAAGGGCTTGGACTAGCTGAGCAATCTCTTAGTCGGCTGCTCCCTAAATGCCTGGGGATTGATCTCCAGTCTTTGACAATATACTTTGAGTGGTACAAGGTATAGCATGGTGTCTAAAAACATGGATTTGAACCCCAGTACTGCCATTCCCCAACTCTGTGACCTGAAACACATGACTCAATCTCTCTTATGATTGATTTCCTTGCCTGGAAGAAGTGGATGACAATACTTACCTCCTGAGTCGTTATAAAGATTAGACAAATGAATATTTAAATGGATATTTGTACACTACTTAGCTGGATAACTCTCACCTGAAAGCTGGTCAATAAAAGTAACTATGATTGCTATGTTCTTTTATGTTTTTTTTTTATTTAACTTGTTAACCCAGAGTTCCAGAGAAATCAAGAGGAGAGCACATAGGGAGTAAACGTGGTCGCTTTTACATGGTTGGCAAATTTCTCTGTAGGTTCACAGAGCATGGACATGTGTCCCCCCACACTCGAACTAAAACAGATCTCAAAAACTGTCACAATCAGCAGTTAATTATCATTCACTCTCCACCCTCAGAATCTTTAGTACAGTACTTGAACAGTAGAATTATCCCTGGGAGCTTTCCAAAGCATTTTCAGGACAAAATCTTTACTTATAAAAGGGGAAAATAAGTCTCCCAGAAGAATACATGACTTCATTTGAAAAGTACATATGCAGTAATTGTTTCATTCACTTGTAACAATTTCACCACCCACAAACTTACCCATAAACACATCTTTCTGTCTGGAAACGCCACTGTCAGAGAGCTCGTTTCCACGTTTTGCAAGGAAGGGAAGAGGAAGAGTGGACATTTATTGTGTTAAGCGCTGTGCTGTGCTTTCTTTATTAAATTTTTAACAGCCAGGCAGCACTTTGAATGCATAGACTCTTTTAATCCCTTTGAAAATCTATTTGAGGTATATGTAATTATTTCTTGTTAGGCTGGGTGTTGGGTGCACAGACACTTATTTTGTTATTCTATACCTTTTCATATGTCTAAAATATTTCATGTCTTTCATTATGGCAATGGTACCTGCTGTATTAGTCTTGCGAAGATCTCTGTTGCTACATTCGAACTGCAATTCCCTCACCCCCACCCCTGCCCCTTGTGTCTCATTTCAGTTTTCTACACATATTGATGTTGGGAGATAAATGCTAAATTGGGTCGTATTTTTCAGTACATTTTTCCATTATTCCTTCTCATAAAAAAAGTTCCCCAGTTGCTAAAAGAGGAAAAGGAAAAAG